CCCGAAAGCCCCGCCCTCCTGCCGGTATTTTGCGCCCGCCACATTTTCGTCCCCTCATCTCGGAGTATCCCGACCATTTGGTCGAGTTTTTGGTCAATATCAGCGTCTATTGTGGTTTCCAAGACAGCGAATCGATTTTCCAGTTTGAGCTGGAAGCTTTCGGACCCGACAACAGTTTGGAGCAAATTAGGTCGGAGCGTAGACTTCATAAGACGGGCACGCTCGAATTTGTGTTCGATGTTTAGAGTGCCTCGTACCAGTCGGTGATCACTTCCTGTGTTGAACCTATTGATCACAGAGACATCTCTAAATATTCGCTTTTTGTCCGTCATAATGAAGTCTATCTCATTTTTAGTCATAGTGTCGGGGCTCCGCCACGTCCACTTCCGTTGAGGCTGCTTCTTAAAGAAGGAGTTCATCAAGAATAGCCCCTCCTTCTCCAGGAAGTTGACGAGCATTTGCCCCCTATGGTTCCTGCTACCAAACCCGTGTGGTCCTATTACCGATTCGCCGCTAATATGTACTCCCACTTTTGCGTTAAAGTCCCCCATGACAACGTTGAAGTGGGCCTTTTGGGTGGTATGCAAGGCCCTAGAAATGTCCTCGTACATTTCCTCTACTTCTTCGTCCGTATATGTCGAGGTAGGGGCGTACACTTGGATGACTTTTAGGTTATACCTCTTAGTAAGTTTTATCACAAGGTACGCTACCCTAGTCGACACGCTGGAGATCTCCAAGACACTGTCTGAGAGGGATTTGTGGACCAAAAACCCGACGCCGCCTTGAGATGGTTGGTCCCCTTCCCTAAAATACATGAGATGGCCAGACTTAAAGGTCACTGTGTCCTCCCCCTGTCTTCGGACTTCAGACAGCCCCAGAATATGCCACCTCATGCTCCCCAGTTCCACCTCGAGCTGAGCCAGGTGTTCATCGAGCCGTAGCGTGCGTCCGTTGTACGTAGCCAGGGTCAGTTGGTGTTGTCGGCCTTTCGTAGCCCGGGGATTCTTAGCACCCCCTGTCCCGCCGTTACCATGGCCGCCGACTTGGCCAGGAATAGCGGGGCGACCGGGAACTAGGGGCCGTTTTTTGAAATGCCGTGCCATATAAGGTAATGCCCATAATCACCACGCTGGGCAGGCGGGTTGGTGATCGATAATATACCCCTGTTCCAAATTTCATTCCGAACCCTTCAGCCGATTTGACGTGAAAGAGTAACAAACAGACACACACATACATCCTCACAAATATTCGCATTTTTAATATTAGTAGGATTATCTATCCTTTCGGTCAATAAGCTTTCAAACCAGAAATCCTGATATCGATAGAATCGTTTTGTACACCTCCAAGTGATATAACTCCACTATAACTTTTGTGTTTTACGATCACTTGAAACCAACTACGTCCATACGTGATCGATTGTACCTGCACTTATTTTGATTGGTACACTGACATACAAAATGTTATTCTAAAGTCTTCAGTACACGCGATATTTCTAATGGTACTAATAAAAATTAAATTAATAGATCAATTATTTTACAATTCTTCTGAAATTTTAACTGAATTTTTCAATATTACAGTTCACAATCAGATGCAAACAAATTAACATGAATACCAAATAGTATAGAATAAAGATAAATAAAAATATTCAATTTTATTAAACACTTTCAACGTTGATTGTACTTGTTCCTTGTAAAACACAACTCCTTCTACCAAACTCCGTTCATTTCTAGAGTTCAAACAAGTACTTATTTTGTAAGCATAAGGCTTCTTTCCGATTCCCTAATTGATTTATTGGTTTCTTCGAATCTCAAACGTCGGAAGTACTACGTTAATTGACTATAATTGACGTTCCTAATAATTTTACGTAATTAATTGATTTTAAAATTGGAACGTCGCATCTTGATTTTTAAAATGGAGTGGTTTGTCTGTCGTTTTCTGTTTACAAGATATTCAGAATTTTGATAATGGAGATATTGTTTTGTGTTATTGACCAAAGGAGATTGTTTTTTAAATTGCCCCTTTTTTTAAGGGGGGAAAATCATCGAATGACTGCTCCCGCCTGGGTGAGGCGGGAAGGAGTGGCAGACTCTTACTGATTAAAAACCACCCCGTTCCTTCTCCTGCACGTCGAGCCGGAGCCCCGGTTACCCGTTAGGTTCTCTGCCCCTACACTAGTATTTTGTTCTGTGTCGTGGATGCGTTAACAAATATATAAGTCCACATACACATGTCACCCAGACTCGAAACTACAATTTGTGGATCACACAAAGTATTTTTCTGTGCGGTAATCAAATAAATATATATAATAAACAAATTTAAAAAAAAACCCAACCCGCGACATGTTGCACTCCAGCCAACGCACCAACCGTGCAGTCGACATGTTCGTGTTTTCCCGCCACAGCCTCCCAAAACCGCTGCAACTCCTGTAAGCCAGGATCTACAGTAGATACAACCGTGAAAACACCGGAACACTGAAGTCGCCCGCGTCTCAGGGACATGAATAACTGCCTTGGTTCCCGCAAAGAAGTGAATCAGAAGATATTATAAGAAGAGAAGAAAAAAACGATAGTTTCCACAATCCTCGATGAATTAATGCAGGAGACAGAGTGATGAAATTTTGTGTATGTGTATAATAATAAACATCCTATAAATAATTTATGAGTTATGAGAGTCCCGATTGTCTGACTAATTGTTAATTTGGTTTATAAATACGCGATATCAGTCCCAATAAATGATAAGGTAAATAAGTTATTATAACAATACACACTTCTACCGATCACATTTTCTCATCTATCACACTAATCCATTTTATCAGCTTTTGCAATTAAAAAGTCAATACTGGACCTTCGATCCGAACATAATTAGAGCGATGGGCCATCGCTAAGTCCATTCAAGTTCGCAAAGGATAATCTGGTCTTCATTTAAACACATCACGTATAATTCTACTTAGAGGTCCAGATGTCAAGGGAAATATATCTTACCTAGTGTACATTGCTTGAGTAATTTGCGTAGTTAGTATAGTCTGATGATTTTTTTTAAACTACTTTTTTTGACTACCATTATTTATTTGTAAAATTTGAATACGTGGGCGTATACCTGTTAAGTTTAAAGTGTGAATATACAGATATTTATTTCATAATTATGAATGTTATATATTTTATGCTTATGCACTTCGTGTATGATGATGTAATATTCCAAATCTATTTATGTTTAAATCTAATAATATTTAAAGTAAATAAACTACTTTCTTATTGAATAATGATAAATCATTATACCGTGAATTCTATTTCGTTTTCGTTCTGCGGCAAAATAATTAGCCATAAGGAGTACTTTCGATGTATAGATAAAAAAAGAATAAAGATGTCATTTTTTTAGTTAATTGAAATTTTTCATGGAAATACGCACACGAAACACTAGACGTAAATTTGTAGGCACTATTCGCGTCGCGCGACGAGAAATACCTCTTCGAGAATTACATGGCGTGATATTTTGATAATGGTACTATGAGTTCGTAAGCGCTTTCGAAGTTTGCATTTTGCAATGTTTCACCAGATATTTTTGTGTTTATTTTTTTTTTGTTAAACTATTGTATTATCCATACAGAACTATTTTAGTTCAGTACGAAAACGAAATAGATTTCACGGTGTATAATCTAAATAGTGATCCATTGTTACTGTGAGGGTCAAAGACCGATTACAATGATGTAAATGCTTATGGAGATGTATTGTATAGATTCCCATCCTACCTGTACATTCAAAGTCAAAGAATTTGTTTTCAATTGAGCACTTACAAAGACTTGGAAAGTTGAAATCATAAGTATGTTTGTAACTTGTTAGTCATTTATGAAGAAAAAGATTTTCTTGCCGTTTTTAGTTGAATATTATTTGCCGTTTTTAGGTCAGAGACTGATATTTTATGTAATACCATTTAACGAGCATTTCTTAACATAACATCATAACAGTCTTTTATCATCAAAGTCAAAGTCAAAGTCAAAGCATTTATTTCAATTAACCCATAGTTTGGTACTTTTGAAACGTCAACAAATACAAAATAAATAATAGTCTGTCAGTCAGTCCGTCAGTGAAATTAGGTGAAGCTAGGTGCTCATTCCAAAATGTAGATTCGAATGGAGAAGAACGAACAAGAAAATCCATTCGTTACTCTTTTTTAAAAAAGTATGTGGAACCTCGAAAGGGTAGGCAGAGGTGCACACAGAAGTAACACCCACTTTTCACTATTTATGTTATGAGTCTCGTGTAATAGCAGGTGAGCCTATTGCCATATACCGGGCACATTTCCAGACTCTGTGCTACTGAGATTTTTTTTTAAAACCCAGTAATACTTTGCCTGTTCCGGGAATCGAACCCGAGACCCCTTGCCTGATAGTCGCACTTGCGACCACTCGGGCAACGAGTTGAAAACAACTTGTTTATAAACTCTATTCAACATAGGTTACAATAAACAACAATCTAAATCTTCAAAAAAAAAAAACAAACATCATTCTCAATTTAGAAACTTCATAAGGATTAAAATTTCTTTTAATGAACTCCCACTTTGTTCTTCCAATTACAGCTGATTGAGTTAAGTCTGTTGGAGACGGCAGAGGATAATCCGCTCCTGATATAAACACGTCACGTATCACAGCGTGCTTAACGTGACCGCCCGTCACGGTGATACTAGATGTAGTCCCGTTGTCCCGTTTTTCCACGATATGTCACGGCGACCACATAAAAAATACCACGTGGATTGTAACCCTTTTTTTCGGTGTGAAACGGTAGTAAGGGTTTTCTTTTAAGGTATTTTATTGGGACTTTAAGTGAAGTTTTAAGGTTCGTTTTGGATGTGTGTTTGCTTATAGAAGGTAAGGGTAGAATGCCATTTTAAAAACAAAAAAAAAATCATGAACCTATCATGATTTTTTTTAAACAATCGTTACGGAATCTTTTTTATTTTGTTCTTCTATAAATCTCAGTGTTAATCTACGATTTGAAATGAACACTTAGTTTTACTAACAGTTTATGAAACAACAATTTGTTTCATTCAAAATTGTCTAAAAACCTAGAAATGTTTTGACTTGTTTAATATTCCGTCTAATAAATGACAAGTAAAATTTTAAGTCACATCATTTTGTTCATTTAATAATTTTGTATCTGCAGTATAGTATATAGTCTAAACTCTTAGCACTTATGTGTAATTAAACTCTTCATATTGTTATTTCTGTCTGTCCGTCATAAGCTATATCGTTGCGGTCTCGTTGTGGTTGGTTTTGGAATTGTATCATTACGACTCATAAAGCAAGAGAGTAGATGAAAGTACATTATCAGACTCATTACTTCTGTAAGGTACGTTAACTCAAATGAATAATCTAATATATTATAAAATTCTCATGTCACAGTTATCGTTGCCATACTCCTCCGAAACGGCTTGACCGATTTTGATGAATTTTTTTGTGCTTATCCGGTATCTAAATAACCGTAATAACGTAATAACCGTAACAAATATAAAAAAAATAATAATAGGTAACGCATATATATAAAAAATACTTCTATCTGGTACAAAAATTCAACATCGCCTATTCTTTACAAATTACAATTCGTGTTAATAACGTTTTTTTTCCATAAAATGTAGTAAACAAATTATTTAGATACTGTAGGTACTACATTTAATAGGTTTTGTACGAAAAACATCAGTCGATTGGCAGCTATCAATTTAATTTCCGTCCAATTTTTCAACTACACAAATCGTTTAATCAATACACGATATCCTTATCGCTGTATATATTTCAAACTTACGTTTAAAATAAATCTAGGTACGACTATCTGTACGCACAACTTCGTCCGCTTGGAAAAAGTAGCTTAAGTTACTCCTTGATACATCAGCCACCTATCAATAAAAGTCCCATCAAAATCGGACCAGCCGTTTCAGAGATTATCCAGTACAAACATACGGACAGACAGACAAATAAAAATTGTAAATAGTGCGGTTTGGTATTATGCACGTACATATAGTATAAAGCGTATGTATGTGTATAGATTTAATAACAAAAATTCCTCTCGCAAGTTTTCGGTTGTGAAGCTATAAAAAAAGTTTATATGTCAAAAAT